TTAAGTGATGCCGTGTGCAAGCGAAGGAGTTGAAAACTTTCCTTTAGCCTCGCGGAAGGCAAGGGGAGGCTGCTGCGTAGCGGGGTGCGCGCCGCGCAGCGGGCCGCGGCACGCGGCAAGGACGCGGGGCTTCGTCCTCAGGATGCTCTGCGGGAACCCTTGACTCCTCTTTTCAAGTCACTTAGTTCAGACAGAAAAGCTATTTTTCTTCCCGCTGAGAGCCGAGATACTTCCCTCCCGCCGTGAATCCCCAACCGGAGGCTCTAAGGGGCTCCTAACATCCTTCCCGTTGGGGTCTTAAAGGAGAGAAAAAAACACCGAAACGGTGCTCAGAAGCCAGCTGTAAAGAGAGCGGCAGTAAACTCGGAGGCTCTCATTAGAGGAAAAGCGCAGCGAAAATCCGTCCAAATCTTGTCATCCGTCCGCTTTTAAAACGATTGATTCTCGACCGGTTACAAATGAAATTTATCTTCGTCTCCTGAACGTGCCCGGCGCAGGCTTCGTCCCAGGAACTCAAACTGGATTCTTGCCGTCGGCACTGTGATTCCTCCCTGGCTGCTCCGAAGCACCCAAATTTTAGGCTATTTTTTTCATTCTGGGTCAGATAAATTTCTCGAGACCCGAGCGCCGAGGCCCTCTGGGCTCTGAAGTTTGGAGCTGGGACCGATGCTTCCAGCATTTTAGCGATATTTTATTTAGCAGTATGTTTTTATTTATATAGCGTACTGTACTGGTGTCCAAGCGTCGAGGAGCGGTGCTTCAGCGCTGGAGGTGCCTAGGCCTTGTTGCAGGCTGCTTCTTCTCAAACAAGCCTTTCTTATATGAAACTAATACAACCGACGCAGTTCAGTATCCCTTCAAGCTTTATTTATTTATTTTTTTGATTAATTTGAAATGTGGTTGAGTCCGGTATATTTTGCTTGAAATTTTTAAAATCTTTTTCTCCCACGAAATTTCAAATATTGAACTGTGCTAGGGTTTTTTTTTTTTTGTCTTTTTTTCCCCTTGGTTCTGCAGAGCAAGCATTTCGTGAGAAAGGCTGTCTTGGCTCTCTCTTAATGCCGCGTTACATAAGATGGTCATTAGATAGCTTGTTTGTTGTTGGCACTATATTTTCGCTAAATATTAACAAAGTACTGAAACGGCATCATCACACATTTAAATTCTTCAACTTTCTAGGGCTGGCAGTATTTGTAGGCTGCATTTTAACATTTAACTTCCAATGCTAAATTTTAACTTAAGGTTTTCTTTTTTTGTATATGTGTGTGTATATATAGATTTACGTGCATACATATATGTATATATGTTTTTGTTTTGCTTCCTCCTGTTTTGGCTAGGACTAGAGCAACCCCAGCAAACAGCGCATTGGGGAGGGAGGGGGGCACATGCAGCGAGAGCAGATTTCCAGGGAGAGCATCTTTAATGAACCTCGGTTCGAGGCAGTTTTTAATTTGCTCGGGTTTTTTTTGCATTAAAGCCGCCCCTTGCGGCCGCCCGCCCGCCGGGTGCTCGGCGCTGCGCACAGACCCCGCGCGGGTGGGGGGACAGGGGGCGGAGCCCCGCCATCCCGCCCCTCTCAGGGAAGGGGGGGGGGTTCGCGGCCCCGGGGCC